CACAATTCATCTCATGACAGAACTGCGTGGTTGCATTTGTATAAAAGTCTAGAAAATGCAAGCTAATCTGGAGGGACAGGAAGCAGAGCAGTGGCTGCTGGGGGCTGGGGGAGCTGCAGGGGTATAGGGACGAGGTGACAAAGTGGCCTGAGGAACCCTTTGGGACGGATGCATCTGTTCATTATCTTGGTTGTGGACATGTTTTCACGGGTGTCAAAAGTTACCGAATTGCACACTTTAGATACGTGCTGTTTATTGAATGTGAATTGTACGTCACACCCGGAGGTATTAAAAGTAACAGCAAGGGTTTAATTCTAAAAGGCAGCCTCCAAGTGTCTTGGGCCCGGTGCCACGTCCGGCAACATCCCGTTCGCCTCTGTTTACGAGGACCTGATGGTTGAGAGGGTGCCCCCCACCCACTTACCTCCTCCCCTCGGGCCATGCTCCGCACCGCCTGCTTTCTTGCAGCCCAGCTGACCTTGCAGACCCAGGGAGGACGCCGTCTCCTCCGTCTGGGACCCTCCCGCCCCTTCCTCACGTTGGAGATCTCAGTGTCCTCTTTGTGGTTGGCCGCAGTCTCGAACACCCCTCCCTCAGCCCCGGAACCTGTGACTCCAGGGGTCATATTCAATTGTGGGACACAGCTCACCTTAAGATGGGAAGACACGCGCCCTCAAAGGCAGAGCACTTCTGTGGCTGCTGGCGGGAGAAGTCCCGAGAAGCAAGCATGGGCAGGACCGGATGGGCCTTGGCTGCACGGACAGGAACGTGGGTGTCCCCCAGTTGCTGAGGGCGACCCTCAGCTGACAGCCAGCGAGGAGACAGGGACCTTGGTCCTTGCTCCACACGCAGTGTCCATATGTTGACAAAACCTCATCCCACTGTGATTAGGAGGTGGGGCCTTAGGGGGGGTGATTGGGTCAGAAGGGTGGGCCCCTCATGAGTGGGATTCGTGCCTTCATAAGAGATCCCAGAGAGCAATCCTGCTCCCTCCTGCCATGTGAGGACACACTGCGAGGCTGGCAGTGAACCAGGGAGCGGGCTCTCACCAGACACTGAACCTGCTGGCACCTTGATCTTGGACTTCCCAGCTTCCAGAACGGCGGGAGAGAACTCTTTAAGCCCTTAGTTGTTCTGTTGTAGCAGCTGGAAGAGACGAAGACGGGCCTTTGTGGGCAAGAAACCAGACTCTGAACAATGGACTCCAGCCTGGAAGTGGATTCTTTCTGAGAGCTTCCAGATGAGAGCACAGCCCTGCCGACGCCTTGGTTTTGGCCACGTAAGACCCTGAGCGTGGAGCCCCCTTGAGCCCGCCCAGACTTCTGATCTGTAATAAATGGGTGCTGTTTTAGATGGCTGAGTTGTGGTAGCTTGTTAGGTAAATGAAGTCAGAGAGGAGTTTCCTGACTGTCCTGTCCCAAGCAGCCCTGCCCTTAACACCTTTGTTATTTTCTCTCAGGTCCTCTGGTACCTGCTGAGTAGTAATGTCAGTTTCATGGGACTCTCTCTCATGCCAGAACTTAGCCCATAAGGGCAGAGCCAGTGTCTGTCTTGTTCATCTGTGGATCCCGAGTACCCAGGACTAGCCTGACTTGCAATTGGTTCTTTTTTTTCTGTTTGCTTTTTAAAGTTGATTTATTTCAAGAGCGCGCGCGCGTGCTAGAGAGCGAGCAAGGGAAAGCGAGTGGGGGAGGGACAGAGAGAGAGGGCGAGAGAGAATCCCAACCAGGCTCCTCACTGTCCTCGCAGAGCCCGATTCGGGGCTCGATCCCACGAACGGTGAGATCACGATCTGAGCAGAAACCAAGAGTTGGACGTTTTACCGCCCGAGCCCCCCAGGCTCCCTGCAACCGGTTCTTGATCAGTGTTTGTGAAAGGATGCATGATCCCTAAAGATTGTGCACGCTGATCAAGGGGTCTTCGTCTTCCCTGCTCTCTTCTTTCTAAAGGGCGCAACTTGAAGTGCTAATTTGCACTGGAAGGCTTCTCATCAGATGTTAAAACAAAACGGGCTTTTAAAATTCCTGGTATTAATTTCATCTAACCAAGGCTGTTGGCTGGCCAACTTTTCTCAGCTAACATTGAAATTTAGCCCCAGGACTTTTGAAAGACTCTCTCTGGAAAGATCCAGTGATACTGTTGTTTTGTAAAACATGACTGACCAATTCTTGGGACTCCTGAAAAGTGAAGAGGGGTGGAAAATGGTCTGGCGGTTCCTGGAAAGGTTGGATGTGGAGTTTCCACATAATCTGGCATTTCCACTTCTTGGTATCTACCCAAGCGAAATGAAAACATGTATAAACAAAATCGTGTTCATGAGTGTTCACAGCAGCATTATTCATCATCGCCCCAAAGTGGAAACCCAACTGGCCATAAATTGGTGAATGGAGAAATAAAATGTGGTATATCCGTGCGGCGAGACGTTATTCGGACGCGAAAAGAAATCTGGAACCGATGTATGCTATGCATGGGTGAACCTTGGAGACGTTATGCTAAGTGAAGGAAGCCAGACACAATTTGTGTGTCCATTTATGTGAGATCCCATTTATGTGAGATGCCCAGAACAGGCAAATTCCTAGAGAAAGTAGATTAGTGATTGTGCGGGGCTGGAGGCAATGGGATGTTGACTAGAGCTTGGGTTTTTTTTTGGGGGGGGGGACGAAAATGTTGTGAAATGGACTGTGGTGATGGATGGACAACTCTGCGAATATTCTAAAAATATTCTCAACGTATAACTCGCCTACAATGGCACGTGAATCAGCTCTCAGTGAAAAAATTATACCTCGTCCAGGTGTGAGGGTGCATGGACGGCCCTCTTGCCTAATTCCTACCGAGTCTGTGGCTGGGCCGTCCAGGGAATTTCAGAATGCGTGGAAGGAACCCCCTGCCTCGGTAACACTTATGGCAGAGGGAGGACTTCTTCCTGGATCCCCATTACTCTGGGTTCACTCACGCCCACGGTGCTCCCTGTCAGTGTTACACAGAGACGAACGGTCGTGCATTTATTTATTTATTTATTTATTTATTTATTTATGTTTATTACTATTTTTAATGTTTATTTATTTTTGACAAAGGGCGAGCGGGGCAGGGGCAGAGAGAGAGGGACACAGAATCTGAAACAGGCTCCAGGCTCCGTGCTGTCAGCACCCAGCCCGACGCGGGGCTCGATCCCGTGAACCTCAAGATCGTGACCTGAGCCGAAGTCGGACGCTTAACCGGCTGAGCCACCCAGGTGCCCCTATTTATTTATGTTTAATTTACATCCAAGTTAGTTGGCATACAGTGCAATAATGATTTCAGGAGTAGATTCGAGTGATTCATCGCCTACGTATAACACTCAGTGCCCTCTTTAATGCCCCTTGCCCATTTAGCCCCCCCCACCCCCACAGCCCTCTGACAATCCTCAGTTTGTTCTCTGTATTTAAGAGTCTCTTATGTTTTGTCCTCCTCCCTGTTTTATATGATTTTTGTTTCCCTTCCCTCATGTTCGTCTGTTTTGTGTCTTAAATTCCACATATGAGTGAAGTCATATGATATTTGTCTTTCTCTGACTGATTTCGCTCAGCATAATACCCTCCAGTTCCATCCACATTGTTGCAAATGGCAAGATTTCATTCTTTTTGATTGCTGAGTAGTACCCCATTGTATATATATACCACATCTTCTTTATTCATTCATCCATCGATGGACATTTGGGCTCCATACCTTGGCTATCGTCGATAATGCCACTGTAAATATTGGGGTGCATGTGCCCCTTCGAAACAGCACACGTGTATCCCTTGGATATATACCTAACAGTGCAATTGCTGGGTCGTAGGGTAGTTCTATTTTTAATTTTTTGAGGAACCTCCATACTGTTTTCCAGAGTGGCCGCACCAGTTTGCATTTCCACCAGCAGTGCAAAAGAGATCCTCTTTCTCCGCATCCTCGCCAACATCTGTCGTTGCCTGAGTTGTTAACATTAGCCCTTCTGACAGGGGTGAGGTGGTATCTCACTGTGGCTTTGATTTGTCTTTCCCTGATGATGAGTGCTGTTGAGCATTTTTTCATGTGTCGGTTGGCCATCTGGATGTCTTCTTTGGAGAAGTGTCTATTCACATCTGTTGCCCATTTCTTCACTGGATGATCTGGTTTTCGGGTGTTGAGTTTGATGAGTTCTTTATAGATTTTGGATACTAACCCTTTATCCGATATGTCATTTGCAAGTATCTTCTCCCATTCCGTCGGTTGCTTTTTCGTTTTGTTGATTGTTTCCTTCACTGTTCAGAAGCTTTTTATCTTGATGAGGTCCCAGTAGTTGATCTTCAGGTGTTCTTTACGAGAATCAAATCATTCCTGGATGGAATCTCAGTTTGGGACCTGGAAACGTCAGGCATGAAAATCTGAGCCTGGAGAGTTTCTTGCAGCAGTAGGGGCCCATCCAGATCTCACTCCCTGTAACTTCCCCTCAACTTCAAGTCCGGGCCTGGAAAGAACAGAATCCATTTCTGGCCTTTCATAGACTTTTCCACCGGACCCAGGAGGTGAGTCCTGGTGTTGGGTTATTCCGAGACCATGTCCCTTTACAGGCACGTGGCATTTGCTTTTAATCTTCCCTGGGACTTTCTATAATCATATCTGACAAGTACTTTTATCCCAGATGGACCGAGATGCTTGGTTCAGCTTGAAGGTTCATCAGGCAGACCTGATGTCTGCCCAGTCCTCAGCCTGCAGGAAAACTCTGGGCTGCAGCAGGGGTGGCTGGCTAGGATAGAGTCATGGGTCCTGTGGAGAGCATCTGAGACCACAAGACGTGAGCCCTCTCGACTGTCTGGCTATCCATGATCTCAGCCCTTCACTGGTCTGTGCATCTCCCATTGGGATAAACTCATCCCTCCCCATTTGGCCACGATCTAAATGAGGTCTTCCAAGATTGAGCCACGTCAGCTTCGAGTTTCCCGAAGGTGCAGACTCCGAAGGGCTTTGTGCAAAGGTCTTGATCTTGGGGTTTGCACACAGGTGGAGGATGTTAGAGCCTGGGTCCTCTGTAGGTGGAGGCCGGTGCTGGGTGCTATGATCCTCTCTCGCCAGGGGGCGCCACACTCCTCCTCTATCTCTATCCCTGTCTTGCTTCCAGATTTCAAAGGCTTGGGAAAGGGGGTGGCGTACCTTCCAGACTCTCGGTCACTCCACTTTGTAAACTGCTTACGGGCCTCAAAGTTTCCTAGTGAATAGGCTGACGATTTTCTGAGAGAAAACACAGCTGACCTACCTGACAAGGGCTCTTTGATAAGATAACAACAGCGGACTGCAAACCCCCTTTCCTTCTTGGTTTGCATTCTGGTTTCTGTTCCATTCGACGACTCCAAAGTACGTTCCCCCTTCTCCAAGTATGGCATCAAACCCTTCTGGAATCTTTAGTGGAGAAGAGGACCCGAGACAGTGGACTTGGCAAAAAAGGAGGCTCTCTCTCAGAAGAGTCTAAACACACCCTTGTTAGTCCTGGGTGCAGCCAGTATGCCAAGAAACCACATCGAGACTTCTTCCTCAGAGGCTCTTGGTTGTTACAAGGAGACCACGCTGGAAGGTCTCGGCCACACGGGAGGTTGGGCCCCGCTTCTCTACCACGTGTACCTGGAGACGTCGGTCTGAGGGGACATGTTCTCCATTGTCACAGTTCTCATTGTCCACGGGACTGCAGGAGGGGAAGCTGCTCAGGAGATTTGGGGGGGCCCAATCAGGGGTCCCGAGAGGGTGAGAGGTGAAGCCACCCCCTCGGAGAGGGGTCTCACCTCTCCTACCAGGTGACCAAGAGGCGGGGCCCAAAATGGCGTGTGAGAGCGTTACGTGTGTAAAAGTCACAAGAATGAAAACCTTGGGGTCCTGTTCCCCCGGCTCTCCCAGTAGATACAGGAGTTCACACCCACCCCGGGAGCCGGGCCTGAGAGCAGGCAGTGGTCATAGCCCGCGGGTACGTATTGTTTCCTAGATTCCCCGAGGCGGCTCGTCTTGCCTCTTCTCTTCCACCATGGATGTTTGCACCAGTGACAGGTTCCTGGCCTCACCAGACTCCACATGGTTTTCCCACCTAGCCCCGCACCCACATTCTCCCGGGAGCCTGGGACCTCGGGGTGGACGCCCCTGGACGCTCCACCAACTAGATATTTTATTTTTTATATATTTCTTTAAACTTTATTTTTACTTATTTTGAGAGAGAGATAGAGAGCGAGTGGGGGAGGGGAGGAGAGAGAGGGAGACAGAATCCCAGGCACGTGCTGTCAGCGCAGAGTCTGACTTGGGTCTCGAACCCATGAACTGCGAACTCATGACCCAAGCCTTGGGGTTTTTTTTGTTTTTTTTTGTTTCTTTTTCCTCATTTCACTGCTTGCTCATGGACCTGGGACCTCTCTCACCCACCTGCCTTCCTCCTCCTTGGGACCTGGGTCGGCCTCTGGTGGGATTGATGTTGCTTTCCCACACTTGCACGGTGGCCTTCTGGATGTCTCTGCACCCTCTTTTTTTTTTTTTTTTTAATTTTTTTTTTCAACGTTTATTTATTTTTGGGACAGAGAGAGACAGAGCATGAACGGGGGAGGGGCAGAGAGAAAGGGAGACACAGAATCAGAAACAAGCTCCAGGCTCTGAGCCATCAGCCCAGAGCCCGACGCGGGGCTCGAACTCACGGACCGCGAGATCGTGACCTGGCTGAAGTCAGACGCTTAACCAACTGCGCCACCCAGGCGCCCCACTGCACCCTCATCTTAACGCACCTCCCTCGGTGCCGCCAACTGGTGTTGGCGCCCTTTGAGTGGTGGCGGGTGGGGGTGCTCCTGGGAGTGGCTGGGCCCAGCGGCATCCAACTCTCTCATTTCCCGGCTCCTTCCACCAACCCCTGACCACGCCGAACAGATATGGGACAGAAATACTCAAGTGAGGCGGGGAGGGAGTCTGGATTACATGGAAAATCCTTGCCGCTTTCCAAGAAGAAATCAAGAGTTTGTATCAAACACCTGAGGGTCAGGACAGGGCTTTTCAGCAAGTTCCCAATCTCTGTAGAAAGTCAAGGTCCGCGGAAAATTCGACACCCACGCGAGCCAGCGGACTGAGATGGCTGCCGGTGGAAATGAGCTCTGCTGGGGACAGCCCATGCCTGCCAGCCCTAAGCCTCCTCCACTGCCCTGGCCTGGGCACTGCCGGGCTCTTTGCGTTCCCGGCCCAGAAAACAATCCCGACCTGGGTCGGGGGCCCTCTTGGCTTCCCCCTCAAAACGTACAAAGCCCACATCTTCTCCTTCTCCCTCTTTGCACCTTTCTCGTTGTGTCATTGTGTTCCCCGATCCCTGATCACCTCCGGGGCTTAGCCAGTAAGCCTCTCCGTGGCGTCCAGCTCCAACCCAAGAGGCTTAACTTTTCCCATCTAAGGTCATCTGGAAGACCTGTCCTGTCTGCTCCCAGCCCACGTAGACCTGTTCTGTCTCCGTCTCTCTGCATATGTATAGTGGGGCCGGCCCTGGAGCCAGAGACTAAATACCAAATTGCCTTGCTCTGCGTGAAGTCTTCCCCTGTTAAAGAGCAAATTATTCAAAGACACTTGTTCGAGACGGTAAGACAGACTTTAATCCAGGGGTGGGGGGCATGGCAATAGGCGCAAGGACCCCTGTGATGGAGATTGGACTCCATTCTGAATACAGCGGGGGCAAGTAGGAGATTAGAGCCAAGGAGTAGGGTGGGGACAGAGGATGGTAAATCACTAAGAGGAAACATCAGGGGTGAAGGGGGTCCTCGCTAAACCCACCCAATGGGGTTCTTGCTGAAGGCAGGCCAGGGTGGTCAGCCGTCACCTGGGGGGCAGTGGGGGTGAGGAGCCCCATCAGGCATCGAAGGTGGGGGTTCTTGGCGATCTGACTCAGCAGGAGTCATGTGGGAACGAGGAAGGGCACCGCTTGGGGTGGGAGACGTTTCAAGAGCCGGGAAAAGTTTGTTCCAGCAAAGAATCTTGGTCTCCAACATTTGTCCCAAGGATAGCGGCGAGGGATAGAAATGATACCACGCAGGGCCCCGCCATGCCGTGGTTTCGGGAAGATGAGTTTCTCGCCTCCTGGAGCGCGCGTCCTCGTCAGGGAGCAAAAAGTCTTTGTTTAGGAAAATAACCCGCTAAGGGGTGAAAGGTGAGGCCTTCAGAGTTAAGAGAAATGGGGACCAGGAAACAAAAGCCCCCCAAAGCCTTGAGCTGCTCTGCATAATACAAGAATGGGCATCTGGGGAGAAGGAGGAAGGGGGTGTGAAGAGGCCGGAGGCAGGGGAAGCAGGGCTGGAGGCCAGAACTAGGTTGGCAGAGACGGCGTCAGGGGGTTTCGGAACAAGGAAGAGGCTAATAAGCCATTTTCCTCGCATTTGTAAACTTGCTCCGTCTGCCCAAGCCTTCAGCGAGAATACGCAGAGAAGTCTTCCGCTGATGGTGTTATTACTGTTGCTTGGGCTCATCCGGGGGGATCGCAGCGGGCAGAGTCAGAGCCGGGGACAGACCCGGGGCTGGGCGGTGGGAAGAAACTTGGGGACGGTGCCTACAGCTGCCACCCGCTTGTAACAAATCTGCCTGGGCTCATCTCAGGGATGCCCCGCACGCCGCCTGGAGACAGGGATGCCACCGCGCGAATCTGCTCCTTCAACAGACATTTATGGAACACCGACTGCGTGCCGGGGGTGCTGCTGCAGGACGCTGAGGACGCAGGAGGGACCTGCGCACAGGTCCATGGTTTCTGTCGCTCCCCAGGTGATGACAGCTCCCTTCCCTAAAAGCTTTGCCGGCTCCTCCTGCCTGAAGGTGACGTCTGAACAGCTCCAGACGATGGGTGATGACCCTTCACGGCCCAGACCCAGCTCACCTGTTCGGCCCCTCCTCTGAAATCCCTCAGGAAGTCCCACTACCCTGAGATCACGTCTGATTCCTGGATGTTCCTGGAATGCATCAGGCGGGCTGCAAGGCCTCCACACCCCGAATTCCATTCCCACAGCCTCCACACCTTCTCCCCTGCACCTTTCCTGCCGATCCTTCCAAGCCAGGCTAGGGGGCACTGGCCTCGTGGCTGTCCCTGACTACGCCTATTCTCCCCACCCAGCCCCCCTCGCTCCCCCCAACCCAGCAGCCACCGTCATGCTGGCCTCCGGGCTCCAGTGGTGCTCCCGGCTGGCAGGGATGGACCGGATCATCGTGAGTTGCTTCCACGGTCTCTCCTCCTCCTGAACTGTACCAGGGAGAAGACCCGTGTCTTGTTCGTCTCAGTGCCCACCCAGCACCTGGCACTCAACGAGCCTCTACCGAGTTGAGCTGGCTGGGCAGCGAGGGTGAGAAATCCTTTTACCTAAGGATCTACAGAACTTTCCCCAGTGTTGGGAAGACAGGAATATCAACTATGGCTGCAGCCTCCTCTCCGGTGAATTTTCATTCAACTCCCAGTATAAATAGCTCCCTTTCCCCCTATCAGAAAACATCTGCTCCCACTGAGCTGCCCAGGCCTGTACCAGCACTATAAATATCCTGGCCGTGTCTAGCCTGCCCTGGCACAGGGGCCAGGAGAACTTGGAAAGAGTTGAACACCAAGCGAGGTGAGGGCAGCCGGAGTGAAGGAACAGAATTGCCCCATCTCCCCCTCTTGCGCCCCCAGCCACAGGCCGACAACGCTTCCCGCGTGGGCTTGGAACCCCCCACGGTAGTCCTGGGAATTCGGCAGAGGCAGTCAGCTACCCCTGCTCTCCTGGGTTTCGACACCGCGTGTGATGCAAGGACCCCGCTCACGTCTCAGCGGCTGAGGTGCGGCTTGAAACTCAATTTGAGCCAGCTCTCCCCATTCCGGCGGGGATCTTGCAGGATGGGAGGTGATAGGGCTTTGAGAGCATTGCCTTTCATGCACATTTATACGGAATCGTGTGATGCTGTGCTCCTCGAAGCTACTCCTTAAACTCAATAAACCGAAGGGCTGAAGTCCACATGGTGGCGTGGTCTAGAATCTGCACACATTTCCGAGGTGGAAAAAGGGAGGCTAGTGTTGGGGAGAAGGGACCTGGGAAACAGCCTCCATCTAAAAACACCAGCCGCAGGGGCGCCTGGGTGGCTCAGTCGGTTGAACGTCCGACCTCGGCTCAGGTTGTGATCTCACGATCTGTGGGTTCGAGCCCCGCGTCGGGCTCTGTGCTGACAGCTCGGAGCCTGGAGCCCACTTTGATTCTGTGTCTCCCTCTCTCTCTGTCCCTCCCCTGCTTGCACCCTGTCTCTCTGTCTCTCTGTCTCTCTCTCTCAAAAAATAAACATTAGAAAAAGTTTTGTGAGACACCAGCTGCTGACATCCACATGCCATGTTTGTAAAACCAAGCTGTGGCACAGAGAGGGCTTCCGGGTACCCTGGAGTTGAAAGCCTCTTCCTCACTCTCCAGGGCCTGTTCAACACTCCCTGGGGGGGGGCTGATTTCTCTTCAATCCCAGGTGAAAATGTCTGGGAGCCCGGTGACCCTCCAGCAGCTGCTGGAGAACAAACAGTTCGCTGATCACTTCGAGTCTACTGGGTCTCTGTGCAACAGAGAGAGTCACCGAAGTGAAATTTCTTCCCTCCCAGCTCGGCTGCTCCCAGTCAGAAGAAGCTGTGTTTGGCAATGGTGGGGGGCTGGGGGGTGGGGGGCCCACCCCATGTGTAAGGAGCCT